AGATCTTTAACAGGTTAACTACCTTAAACATAAGACTGGGGAGGAAGTATCTCATATCTGTTAGTAAGATCTTTAACATGTAAACTACCTTAAACATAAGACTGGGGAGGAAGATCTCATATCTGTAAGCAAGATCTTTAACAGGTAAACTACATTAAACATAAGACTGGGGAGGAAGTATGTCATATATGTTAACAAGATCTTTAACAGGTAAACTACATTATACATAAGACTGGGGAGGAAGATCTCATATCTGTGAACAAGATCTTTAACAGGTAAACTACCTTATACATCAGGCTAGGGAGGGAAGATCTCATATTTGTTAGCAAGATCTTTAACAGGTAAGCTACCTTATACATTAGAAGGGAGAAGGGGTATCTCATATCTGTTAACAAGATCTTTAACAGGTAAGCTACCTTATACATAAGAAGGGAGAAGGGGTATCACTCATCTTTTAGCAAGATAACGAAAAGGTTAGCCGCCTCATACAATATATCCTGGCTGTGTAAGCAACATCCTCAGGAAGTAAGTTTTCTTCCATATTCAAGGGTTGGGAGGAGTATCAGCCATTCTATAATACAATGCCAGTCTGGTATTACGTAGAAGGTAAAACAAGTTGTTTTATGACAATTTCATACTGTCTGGTATTTAGTGTTGGGTAAAATAAGCCATTTTATGACAGGTGCTTTTGCTGTGTGGTATGCAGTGCAGTTAAGTAATCTTTCTATCTCACAAGTGTATGCTATCTGGTATATAGTACAGTATAAGGTAAAATAAGCCATTCTGTGACAAGTGCTGTGCGATCTTAAATACAGTGAAGTAGTCTGTTCTATGACGCCAATTCTATGCTGTACATCAACTGTACTTATATAATTCACCAGGGTAACGCAGGGTCCGTATTTGTAAAACACTCGGCTCTTTTGTTCTATTTGATTAGTCTGGCGAAGCTGAAGCATGAAATTTTATCATGAAAAAGCACCAGCCTATAAAATATGTAGAACACATTGAGTGTTGTGTGCCACCATGCTATAAATGGTCGAAGGCCTAACAGATCTGATTTTCAGGTTCATGCAAGCACTCCAATATTAACGGGTGCGTTACGCCTCACTGAATCTGGTCGTTAGTCTTTGTCAAGTTTTCAAATACAAGAACGTTAACAATTGTCATGATTCAAGGAGAGAAAAGAAAGGCAACTTTTCTCCTGCAAACCTGTTCTACACAGGAGCCTTGTCCCTTTTCGTGTCAGACGTGACCTCTTGTTGTGGGTCGCCGCACATCAATAGCATGACATAAAACCCGTTGATAGGATTCTGGGTAACAAAACCTACTCGTCACAGGGCCCCTGGGTGTTGGGCTCATTACTTCAGGTGAAAACGAGACTACTTGACAATTACCTGTCTACCGCCGTAAAAAAGGGTATCCTTATTAGATTTTTGTCGCACATTTAGTTATATATACATGTTGTCTGTCCTTGGAATGTTTAAATCGCATATCGCTCGGTACCATATAGTTAGTCAGCTGTGCTGTGTTCCATGTCCCCATACAAATCTGAAAGCACCCCTGTAGCTCTTACAGGGATGAGTAAGTAATATATATATGTTCCATTTTCGTACCTTTGTAATGATGGTCTGACTCACAGATGGTTGTGTAGAAGGATGTTTATTTCGAAGTGTGATGCTTATTTCTATTTTCACTTTAACTCATTCACCCCTGAAATTTCATGATAGACTATTCCAACCTTTGAATTGGAAGGTTTCAAATGTGTCATCAAGAGTGAATGATTTAACACTTTCAAGTCTTTCAAAGTTTTCTTGGGGGGAAAAACCTCAAAGCAAAATCTGTTTTATTCCACTTAACAACATATCAATGTATTATACTAGAGTTTTGATTGTTCAATTCTTTAAATTAACTGAATATGGAAAAATTGGCTGATTTAAGTCATTAATTGGGAATCGCCCCCACAAAAATGAGACTTGGCAACATGCATTCCATCGTAAAATAAATCAATAGTTGGATCCTTTCGAGTTTCCATTAAACTAGATTTAGAGGAAACTTTTGGATTAGTTTTTAGCTCCATACCACAGCGTCCGTCGTCCGTCTGTCCGTCTGTCCGTCAAATTTTCCTTTAAAACACTACTAGTCATGAATGACTTGAGCAGATTTTGACCAAATTTGGTCAGAAGCATCCTTGGGGGAAGGGGAACAAATAATGTATAGATGGTGGGTCTGGCCCGCCTGGAGGTTGAGGGGCGGGGCCCAATAGAGGAAATATAGCAAATTCTTTAAAATCCTTCTTCCGTCGGAATGAAAGGATTTGTTCCATATTTGGTCTGAATCATCCTTGGGTGAAGGGGAACCAATTTTGTATAAACGGTGGGTGTGGCCCCCCTGGGGGCTGAGGGGCGGGGCCCAATAGGGGAAATATAGCAAAGATTACTTCAGGTTTTTCAAATAACCAATTTTGAACCTCAAAGTTTGTATTTGAATTTGGATGACTGTGTACCTAATACAGTTCAGTAACATTACTGTATATTTAAATAGACCTAATTTTCTCACTCGGAAATCATTTACTGCAATAATTACATCAGAGAAATGACATTGTTTGTATATCACAGATACAGGAAGACGGGCAGTATCAACCCCGGACAGATAGGGGGCAGTAAGCCAAAGGTCACGACCCCTGGTGTGGTCAGCAGAGTCAGGCAGTACAAGATAGAGAACCCACAGATGTTTGCCTGGGAGATACGGCAAAAGTGAGTTGTTTCTTCATTATAATTTTCATACGCTTTTTGTGTTTCTATTGAAGCTCATCGTGTTTTTTTGATTGGTTAATATTAATATATTGGTTAATTGGAAAAAGTCGGCAAAAATGCAGAAGTTGATTGTCGAAAGAGAAAAATCCAAAGCATATAGTTACACATCTAAAAATTGCATTTTCTCTCAAAGGGATAGGAAACTATTTACCAACACAAAGATTCAAAAGTTTGGCGACTGAAGGAACTGGTGGGCAGTAGAATCTTACACTTAATGGAAAAAAGCAAATCTTCTGTGGTCCCTAATTTAAGACGATTTGTAAAAATGGTCACTGGGTTAAATTTTTGTAGATTTCGGTTCTATCAGCCATGGCATGGTGCTGTGGTAAGGACGGATTATAGTGCTATCTATTTCACAAGCTGTATTCATATTTTTCTCAGAAATTTTGTCATTGCCATAATTGAAAACCCTTGAGGGGGAAAAAACCTATACAGTACCAATTTTCAACAGTTCTTTGGTGAAGTTCAGTTTTGGGGAAAAATTGTTTGAATTTTGTATTTGTTTCAAACAAAGTGGGAGCAGGCCTTGCTTTGAAAATATTTTTGTTTTTCAAAGTCTTAAAATATCATCATTCCCAATAAGTTCTTCCACAGCCTAAATAAAATCTTTTCAATCAGCTACATGTTTGTTGTACAGGTTTTCGTGGTTGCATATCATTTTGCATTAAATGTTTGAATTCAAACTTTTGAAAAATGTGTAAATTTATATTGTCAATGTGACGGAATTACTTAATAAATGGTGTAGTTACAAGCTGTAACTTATAGTTACTTGTATTTGTAAATGCTTCAGTCTTCTCTGTCAAAGAATTGCTTGTTTTAAAGTTTGATAACCCTAATTGATTTGAAGGTCAAAAGCTGCTTTCCTATGACCCAAAGCTTATCTAGAGTGGGGACAGCTGACCGCCTGTCTTGATCAGTTTGACCACTACTCGTGGTGACTAGGTGGCGGTGTGCCATGTCCTCTCAGCCCTCAGCAATCTAATGTGCAAAGATATCAGATAGGCAAAAACTAAAAACTATGATAAATTTTTATACAATTTCTGCATTTTACATGGGATAGCATTAGATGTCAAAAATATATGATGTATGTAGTTGCTTAAACTATGGTTAAAGGATAGATAAGAAAAGTTTTGTCCAAGAAAATGGATCAATTTGTGCGGTTTAGGAAGTGTGGTAAGATTTATGGGGCCCCGTATACCGTTGGGGATAAGTTGTGTACTTGTATAAAAACATAAAACATAAAAACTGTGATTGGCATCAATCAGCTACTGATACCAAAAACTGGTGTCTCTCCTGAAAAATATTTCTCGTTATGCTCACTTGGGCACTAAATATTTTTATCGACTTTATTGAAGAAAACAAAATTGTCTGTGTTTGGTAACGCTTATCTCGCGACGCTTTATACTTTTATCAATTTTTATTGAAAAAATGTTCTTCCATTTTTTGCAATGCTTCTTGACCAGGTACTTAGTGTTAGACACAGCTAGAGATTGAAGCTGATATTTCATATTTTGTTGACTTTGATAAAAAAAAAAAAATCATCCATGTGCTTGAGGCACAAGTTTCTTATTCAGAAGATGGTCTGGTGGATGGAAGCTACTGCATCCGTATAGGACATGTGCGTCTCTGACCAGATTCCTTCTGAATAACACTAAAATCACACAGCTTTTGTACAGCACAACAGTATGCATGACTATAAAGAATTAGTTAAGACTATTGACAATTAATTGTGTTGCCGTCAAGACAGACGGTTAAGGCCATTGACTGTAAAATCGTGTTGTCCTTTTGATTGAAAGTTAAGGATATTGACTGTAAAATTGTGTGTCCTTCTAATGGACACTTAAGGCCAATGACTAGAAATGGTGTAACCTTCCTGATCGATAATTGATTCAGACTATATTTACTGTAATTATTATCTACCTTCAGATTTAGATTCAGTTCAGGTAAATGACTTAAATAAGTGTTGCCCTCTTGATAGAGAATTAAGACTATTGACTATAAAAAGGTTGCCCTCCTGAAAAGGAAGTAGTTTTAACTAAAGTAGTTTTAACTAAAGACTGTTGTTTGTAAATGGTGTTGGCCTCGATCCTGATAGAGAATTAGTTAAGACTAAAGACTGTTGACTGAAAATGGTGTTTCCTCTTGATAGAGAATTAGTATACAGTTAAAGTATGGGGTTGAGGGATATAGCAAGTTTGTGGTGTCCCGAGACCAGGTCTAGTTCCCGAGGCGAAGCCGAGGGAAATAGGCATGGTCAGGGGACACCAGAAACTTGCTAACATCCCTCAACCCCATACTTTAACCGTTTTATTATACCGATATATACACACTGGAGAGATAGTTTTAACTAGAAATTATTTGTAAACCATAAGCTGTAGATCACAATAGAGCCAAAAATGCTTCCGATTTCGGTAGCAAGCTCCGCCCACCTCACGCGTCGGTTCCGAGTTCGGTAACAAGCTCCGCCCACCTCTCGCCTGATTGGCTCGGCGGAAACACCCGAGTGTAGGTGTGTTTTAGTTCCCAGACTAACACACATGACTAAAACACAGTCAGGCAAAAGTGGGGATATATTCGATTTAACCAATTACTTTTATATAGAGTAAATAAAGTAGAGGTATAATAATAAAGACTAAAGACTCTTGATTGTAAATGGTGTTGGCCTCCTGAAAAGGAAGTAGTTTTAACTAAAGACTGTTGTTTGTAAATGGTGTTGGCCTCGATCCTGAAAGAGAATTAGTTAAGACTAAAGACTGTTGACTGAAAATGGTGTTTCCTCTTGATAGAGAATTAGTTAAGACTAAAGACTCTTGATTGTAAATAGTGTTACCCTCCTAATGGAGAATTAGCTAAGACTTACAACTATTCATTGTAAATGGTGTTACCCTCTTGACAGAGATTTTGTTCAGACTTAAGACTGTTGATTGTAAATGGTGTTACCTTACTGATAGAGAACTAGTTAAGACTTCAGACTATTGATTGTAAATGGTGTTACCCTCCTGTTAGAGAATAAGTTAAGACTAAAGAATGTAGATTGTAAATGGTGTTACCCTCCTGATAGAGAATAAGTGAAGACTAAAGAATGTGTATTGTAAATGGTGTTTCCTCCTGATAGAGAATTAGTTAAGACTAAAGACTGTTCATTGTAAACGGTGTTGCCCTTTTGAAAGAGAATTAATTAAGATTAAAGACTATTGATTGCAAATGGTGTTACCCTACTGATAGAGAATTAGTTTGGCTATAGACTGTTTATTGTAAATGATGTTACCCTTTTGAAAGGGAATTAGTGAAGACTGAAGACTATTGATTGTAAATGGTGTTAACCTCCTCAGGTAGGTAATCTATTAAGGCTATTGACTAAAAGTTTAGCCAGTGGAGCTGCTGTACTATACAGTAGACGTATTAGAAATGGAAAAACTTAGCTGCTATTGCTTTTCACAATTTTTTTTTTTTAAATACACTTAAAATAATTTTCTTTCAACCTACTTTCAATCCAAACTTGATTTTAGATTTTTCATAATGCTCTTAAATTTATATCACAATTATCAGTATATTGTTATAAGACTCTTTCAGAAAAATACTTAAATGGTCTTGTTTGTGTTTACAATTGAGATGTGCTTTTTTACATAGTTTACATAGTTATACTGCTTTCGAGTAACACTTCAGGATTGGTTTTAATGTCGTTTAGTTTTAAAAGTGACATGTCAAAGTCTCGGCTATGAGCAGGGATGTCCACTGTGATATAGATAGTGACGGAGACACACTGTTTTAACAGCTGAACCCCACGGATTTATAGCTTTATGGCTGTAAATACCATCGCTATTCAATCCCAATTTTTATCGTAGTTCACGCATGGCTCGTGTATTGACGGCCTAATGGTAGCCTTATCAGACCTAAATGCAAAGCAGTCCTTGTGAAGGTTTTCTTGTAGATGAAATCATAATGCAGTATTGAATGTATTGATCCAGGATAATTTGTGTTAGAGTCTTACATTGTTAGAAAACAAGCAGGACATAGAAAAACCTGTGTAGCCGATTTCAAAGAGAGGCAGCGATGCATGGCCTTTCTTATTGAATCTAAACACTCGTAACATTTATGGTTATATTTCATTGAATCTCAGCATGTAACAACAGACCCACAAGTAAGGGAGACGTGTTCTGTCATCTCCGCACAACCGTTACTGTAGGCTGGCCCCTCACAGGGGAAATGCCGTTAAAAGCGTACTGTCAAGCATGTACGTCACTTCCCCGGGTGTAGGTACTTAGGGACATGGCGTACCATGCACCTACAATGTTACTGTAAGCACTGGCTGCTCGCCACATTCATACCCGTCACAGTCAATTTGGGCCCTCTATATGAACTAACACATTAGCATGCTTTAGCCAACGTTATCACTTTGTCATTTCAATGAGTGTAGGAAGTTTTTTACAGTGGTTTTACGGTCAATGGGTTTTTCTTTTGTGTTGGAAACTCCAACATAATTGCTAAGCTTTCAAAAGCTTTCTGCACAATCAATTTAAACTGACTCGATAGCATCTCAATCCTATCGTTGTCATTACCCAGGCCGCGATTTATCACCTGTGCTAGCGGACGAAATACACTGTGCATCAAGGCGTAACAGCTTAGTTGATGATACACCATTGCCCAAACACAATGTAATCCTTTTTCGCACCGTTTTACTCGTTTTTTTAGCCCGAGTTACGATCGTATCTCTCTATACAATGATTGCTTTTGGCATCACAGCGATTACTTTGAGCCGTTGGATGTCATACCCTGCATTTGCCGGAATGGTTTCATGATACACTTCACTTCTTTGATAAAATCTCGTTGCATCTCTTGGATTAGGTGATGTCGGAAAAAGATAAGATTCAATCCTGAGCTTGTGTTTTGTAATTTCTCATTCCCTAATACCTGACTGGAAATTGTACACTTCCGAAATTATATAAGACTCTTTATATTGGAATGGTTTTTTTTTCTTTTACTTACGTATCTTTTTGTCAAGTCAAATGTTTGTTGTAAAACTAAAAAGATTGTTAGGTATGGGTCGGGGGATAGAATTTCACAAACTGTCGACTACTATTATCATGATTCACACCATCTTCCAATCTCAAAAAGTACTTCCTTTTAATTCAAAGAACAATCTGACTCTGTCGTCCCTAAATGTTGACAATGGGATCTTCTTTTAATTCATTAAGACAGTCCATTGCATTTAGCAGGGTAGAAAGGTCACACCTATGGGACTAAAATCTTGAAGTTTACTTAATGAAAAGAAAGGGTGTTTAGATTTATTTAAAGGCAGCTTCGAGGATAAGAACTTCCAATTTTAATAAAATCGTGTGATGTTATCTGCGTACCCACACAAGAATGTCCCCCAATGGTAGTGTCTGTCTGTTCTTGAAGTGTTTCTTAAACTACGGCTCACTTTTATTTCTTTATCAGTTTCTGCTGTGCTTCTGAAGATTTTTTTCTTCCATCACCTTTTCGTCTTTACAATGTTTTACCTCAGAAGAATAGTTTGTCTGTACTCAAAGATCAACTGATCATTGCTGCAATTTGGCTTCATTTATTATAGTATTGTTCTCTTGGTAGTAGACTTAGCCAAGAATTTCACTTAACTTTTGTTTCAGTCAGACACATCTTACATTCTAAATCATTCATATTTTTTTTTGCGTACTCTCCGTTGATTCTTATATAACATAAATCCTTAATATCAAGTCTTGTGTCCTTTTAAGTAAAATCTAATCAAAATAAATAGATAAAGCATGGACTTGCAAAATGATGATGCTGAGAAAAGATTCTCACTTCACCTGTGTGGCACAAGGGAAATAACTCCAAATATTTGTGGTTCTGGTTATTAAGTTGAACCGAAATATTTGCTTGATTTTTTTTGTGTTTTTGTTGATTTTTTAGGAGTTAGGCTGACTTAATTGATGAAAAAATATATCTTTGAATATTTAGGACAACATTTTCATAATCTACAATTAATTTAGAGCAGAATATTTGGAATTTAAAAAAATTGTAGGAAATTGTGTATGACTAAGTTGTTTGACCTAATCTGTTGTCAGGGTCTGATGGGCTTGCGATAACAGAAATCAATACGGACATTATGAAATTAACAGAGTATAATAACGCCAACTGCTTTGCTGAGTGTGTAAGAAGTGGCTGGGAACCAATATCGCCACGACTGGAAACGGGTCGCAATACATTATGCTGTAGTCTTGGCGTAGTTGGGAAAAGCAGCTCTTGGCCAGAGTTAGCCACAGTCCTTAATACAACATTTTGTATTATATTTCACAACAGCAAACTTTGTACAAGATGGACATCAGTTCCATTATCACAGGTAGCCTTGTAGTAGTACAGTCACTTTTAATTCAATGCAGGCTTTTATCATAATCAACGGTTTCCAATTATTATTTTTAGTAAAACTGATTTTCAAAATAATATAATTTTGTGTTTTTCAGGTTGTTGAGTGATGGAATTTGCAATGAGAAGAACATCCCTTCAATAAGTTCAATCAACCGTATCATCCGTGACAAAGCTATCCTACAGCGCAGGTCCCTGGACCTGGCTGGATTCACGGACTCCGAAGATGTAAGTGAAATTGTTATTTACCTAAAGGACTTATATATGATTGGATTAATGTAATGAAGAAATCCAACTTATAGTAGAACAATAATGTTAAAAATATATCAAGTAACATGAATAATTTTCCTTTTTTTTTTTTTTTTTTACATAAATAAAGAATAAAAAATAAAATAATGAAGACATTTTCTTTAAGTACTGTATTTGATCTAATAAAGGTGCTTGTCCTATTAAGGGGTTTCCCACCCTTTTTTGGAAAAAAAAACAACAAAAAAACCAGCAGGGTACTGGGTCACGATCTGTCATCTTGAACATTTCCAGGATACTTGTAGATATTTTGAAAAATGCATGTAGCATGATACAGAAAATTCACATGATTATTCCTAAATGCATCATCTGTATTACCATAACAAAAAGTTGGAATTCAAATTAATATTACACAATAAACACAAATAAATGACGCCTGCAATAATGCAAATTTAGAGTTTAATAAAAAAATATTTAGGGAATCCTTACAGTCAAGTACATAGAAGTATTATCTTTCTAATTAGATGGCAGCAGAGATCATAAGTGTTTATTGATTTTGAAGTCACCCCAATCAGGCTGTTGGGGGCCCTTGTCCGCGAACTGTTAATGACTGCTTTTATGCACACACACACTTGTCTGATTCAGTCGGATTTGTAGATGCTGGTATACAACAAAGATCTCTACAGTTTGCGAACAATAGGAAGATTTGTCAACAAATATTAGACCCCAGGCTTAGAAACAGTGGTTAACTGACCGGGATGGCGATAATGGGGTCATATTTTGTCTGATTTTAATAAATATTGATGTTTGCAAGCTGATGCAGTTTCTATCTTCCTGCCTTGGACACATCACCATAGTTAGGGAAAACAAGAGTTCTATTCACTGACTATTACCCAGCTATAAATATACATCCTTGCATACCTCAGTAACTGTTAGTATATAATCTGTTGCAGAAAAGTTAAGATAAATGTTACTTAATAAGGGCACTCCTTCTCTCAATTAGCCGCACCCTGCATCCTTATTAGGTCAAATACAATAGTTCAACTACCCAATCAAAATAACCAGTCTTCATTAACCACTAATTAACCAGAAATATATCAACATACAAATGTTACCAAAAGAAATGCATTTATAAGATCATGAATGCAATAACCAAGGAGATCAATGTTATTTTAATGCTTATGCTGCCTGGCAAAATGTGAGATCAGTTTAAGCTATTTCAGATTATCCTCCCCACATACAGATACCCTTTGCCACAAGTTTTAGATATATTATTAGATCAATTTGTCCATTATATAATGGATTTTGGATTTATCTAATTAATTTTCATAATGGCATGAATGTTAAAAAGAAAATGCTGTACAAATGTTAAGAAACTTTACCTAGACCAATCCTGAGACTTCACCTTGTATGTTTGTGTTACAGACTATTAACCTAGACCAATCCTGAGACTTTATCTTGTATGTTTGTGTTACAAACTATTAACCTAGAACAGTCCTAGACTTTACCTTGTATGTTTGTGTTACAGACTATTAACCTAGATCAGTCCTGAGACTTTACCTTGTATGTTTGTGTTACAGACTTTTAACCTAGATCAGTCCTGAGACTTTACCTTGTATGTTTGTGTTACAGACTTTTAACCTAGATCAGTCCTGAGACTTTACCTTGTATGTTTGTGTTACAGACTATTAACCTAGAACAATCCTGAGACTTTACCTTGTATGTTTGTGTTACAGACTATTAACCTAAACCAATACTGAGACTTTACCTTGTATGTTTGTGTTACAGACTATTAACCTAGACCAATCCTGAGACTTTACCTTGTATGTTATTGTTACAGACTATTAACCTAGAACAGTCCTAGACTTTACATTGTATGTTTGTGTTACAGACTATTAACCTAGAACAGTCCTGATACTTTACCTTGTATGTGTTACAGACTATTAACCTAGAACAGTCCTGAGACTTTACCATGTATGTTTGTGTTACAGACTTTTAACCTAGATCAGTCCTGAGACTTTACCTTGTATGTTTGTGTTACAGACGATTAACCTAGACCAATCCTGATACTTTACCTTGAATGTTATTGTTACAGACTATTAACCTAGAACAGTGCTAGACTTTACATTGTATGTTTGTGTTACAGACTATTAACCTAGACCAATCCCGAGACTTTACCTTGTATGTTTGTGTTACAGACTTTTAACCTATACCAATCCTGAGTCTTTTCCTTGTATGTTTGTGTTACAGACTATTAACCTAGACCAATCCTGATACTTTACCTTGTATGTTTGTGTTGCAGACTATTAACCTAGACCAATCCTGATACTTTACCTTGAATGTTATTGTTACAGACTATTAACCTAGAACAGTGCTAGACTTTACATTGTATGTTTGTGTTACAGACTATTAACCTAGACCCATCCTGAGACTTTACCTTGTATGTTTGTGTTACAGACGATTAACCTAGACCAATCCTGATACTTTACCTTGAATGTTATTGTTACAGACTATTAACCTAGAACAGTCCTAGACTCTACATTGTATGTTTGTGTTACAGACTATTAACCTAGACCCATCCTGAGACTTTACCTTGTATGTTTGTGTTACAGACTTTTAACCTATACCAATCCTGAGTCTTTTCCTTGTATGTTTGTGTTACAGACTATTAACCTAGACCAATCCTGATACTTTACCTTGTATGTTTGTGTTACAGACAACTGATATGGATGACCTACCCCTGGACACGGAGGGCATACAGAAGTACATGTTGTCTGTGCCACACTTACATGCTGCAGCTGCTCAGATGCAGCAGGTGGGCGTGACGACGGCATCATCGGGGGCAGCTCCCATAGATACAACCTGTACCATCATCCCAATCCAGGCCGTTACCTTGGATGCAAGCCAAACGATCATGGTGCCAGCCATGTCGGGTGTTGGTCAACAGATGATGTTGGCCCAGACACCTCTTTCACTCCCTCAGTCCCCTCCTCAAGTCCTCACACAGTCCCCCACTACATCCCAGACTGACAAATTCTCCCCAAAGGACAAACTCTCGCCAAAGTCAAAGGAACCTCAGGCCAAAGGTCAAGGTCAAAGTGGGGTCCTGGAGGGTGAAACACAAATTATGTCTGTTGAGGAGAGAAACACTGATGAACTTAACAAGAGTGGAGGAAGCACTGGCTCCAATGGAAAGTCGGATGTGTCCAGACACAACAGCCTGCAAGCAGTTATCTCGCACCTGATCTCCACACAGACGGCAGCCATGATGAAGGAGGGCGAGAGCCTGGATGAGACAGATGCTGCCACCAAGTCCATACAGATGGGGTCTGGCGGGGTTGTCATTAATGCACAATCTCCCGAACAACCTCGCACCTCAGCTCCCTCTAGTGTCAGTCCTACAATGTCCTCACAGAGAAGTCCACAGACAAAGATATCAAGAGGTCGTTCACGCGTATCTAGTCGCAGTGAAGCAAGTTCGTCTAACAGCTCATCTCCCACAGGGGTAGCGAGAAGCACACCAGGACAGAAATCGCGTTCCAACAGAGAGGTGGCTAGTAGGATCCCAGTCAATGGGAATGTTGTGTTCAATTCAAATCCCAACCCAGTTGGATTTGACAAGTTTGGTGCCATATACTATGACTACAACTTGCCAGACAGGGGCCTAGGAGGAGGTGCCCAAGTTCCCACGAGATCTCCAGTCCCACAAGCAGCAGTGGCTGGGCCTCAGACGGCTGGGCCTCAGACGGCTTCTAATGTGGTAAACCTAGTGCCAACCATGTGGCACTACCCTCAATCTCCGGTCCAGCTACCTGTTACCAGTCCCAACCCCTCAGAGCGAAGTGGACCCTCCCCCCTCGACTTGTCGGCAGCTCACCCCAGGGATATGCCGAAATTGAAAGAGGAGCCAAAAGATGTTGAGAAAGTGGACACTCTACCCTGTAGTGAAGTCATCACTCCAAGACCTCCACAGTTGGAGAAGGAACAGTGTCTTCCTGCAGACAGTACTTCTCCATTCATGTCTCAAAATACTGGTACAAAGATGCCCGCCGAAACACAGCAGGTTTTACCAGGACAACAGACGCCATCTGGCTCTCCTCAGAGTGTGGGTGATAAACAACAAATATCCAACAAACAAAGACTGTTATATGAACAGAACATGCTCATCTTCGGTGAAAAGGAGGTGGAGATTATTTCTGTCGGAAATAATAAGTGGATTGTGAGGAATGAGAAAGAATTATATACGGTTGTGAATAAAACAGGCGAGGAAGTGCTCAGAGAAACGAACCCTACGGAACTGTCCTCAGGTCAAAAGCTCACAAACTATGTCACTTCTGTGTCCAACACTGACAAAACGCCTGCTTACTCTCAAGACATTGTCATGGTCGCATCGAATATGGCAACCCTATCTCAGACTGCTGTTGGCAGTCAAAGCTCTCCGCCAAACAAACGTCAACAGGAGTCCAACAGTAGCAACCAAGGAAATGACTCTCACAAAATTCTTAAACTATCTAACGGAGATGTTCATAGGCAGGTTGCCGGTGCTACAGAGGTGTCATTTCCCTCCTCAGTCGGGGTTGTGAACGTGCCACTAGTGAACGGTGAACAACCAAAACAACCATCCATATCCCAGAATTCCACACTAGTTCAGAGTGAATCTATAAATAGCTCAAATCCTCAAAACTCCGTGGGAGAGGCGGATGATAGGGGATTCCCTGTCCTGCAGCAGATGTTGAAGCCTGCATAGATATAGTGAAATTGATGTCTTCAATTTCTAAGAGAAATATTCCCTACGTCCAAAGCTTAAGACTGTTCAGTGTGTCATATTATTATTGATTTGTTGTGTTGGTGTTTACATATCCCTCAATGGACTTCATTGAAATCAGACTTATTAGTTCCCGTGAAAAAACCCAGAAACATTCATTATTTGTCTAGAACCCCTGTGTGATGAAATCCAGTTTGATGCTTATGATGATTAATAATTATATATAAAATTCAAATTTCTGCAATATTGTTTGAAAGTTGTTGTAGCTGTAGTATCTTGTTATAAATGTTTTGAATATTTTTAATCCAAATTTATTGTCATCATTAGTAATTTGGTTTTACTGTTATAGCTTGTCCTCGTGTTAGCCCGGACATCCAAACATTTTGTTATCTATATACCGAGTTGTCAAACAGTATGAAATATAAATATTTTAGATGAAATTAGATTTTTAAGGCTTTTTATGTGAAATGGTAGTATTTTATCTCCAGAATGATTTGCCAAATGCTTTAATACATTGTGATTTACGCTAGAAAAAATTGATATACCAAGTTCATCCAAGGACGCCGTATAAATCCTGCAACAAAGAATTTAATTGTCTTGTGCACAACTTGAAGTAAAATTAGTCCCGGGGTTTGCTGGAAAGCCATTCTATACATGGTATAGAACTGTTCTCCTGTTAACAACAGCTTTATTTTAAATCCTGACATTTTAATTTGATATTGAAACTTTAGTGGCCATACCATGCAGCATTAGTAGTGTGTAGATTTAAATTATGTTATCACAAAGTTCTGGACTATTTACACTGTACCCAGCAGGCCAGTATATAGAATATACCACACCTGTTATTTTCTCAAGTCAAATTCTTTAGTTATCTGACTATTTCACAGAAATTGTTAATTTTTTTTTAAATTTCAGAAAGCCAAAAAAAATCCTAAAAATCCACGATCACCAAACAAATTGCAGTAATATGGAAATATACATTTTAATATCTTAATACTGAGATTTTCATTTTTTTTTATAAATTACTTTTACTTTTTAATAACACATTCAAGCAAGCTTACATTGTCACTTTCGACCATGTTTTGTTTTATCATCAGGAATTAAATTGTTATTTTACATATTTTTCCTAGTGCAAAACATGAAAGTCACTCAAGGTAGACAAGCATATGTACGGTACAGATTCCAGGATGTCTGGATCCTTTGGTTAGACTAGACCAACACAGTTTTATGAGTTAACTAAACAATACAAGAAGATGAGTTGTAACGTGGTTGGTGACACTGGAAGTGGAACGTGTTGTAATTCAACAAGGCTTTACTGTGTACTATGTTGGGGCGTAGACATATTCCCAGATCCAATGTTGATTTGTTATTAAGGGATCCTTTCATGGTAAACCTCTAATGATTTGCTTTACAAGATTTTAATCTTATTTTATCTTGTTTATATTTTAATTAAGTTATTTGAGTACAAAAAAGGTTACAAATTAATTATTGCATTTGTTACGAAATCCCAGGTTGTTTTGGCTACGGCTGTACTTGTTTTGTTAGTGTCGTCGCCATGACTTCAGTTTCCATGGAGATGTAGAAATTTATAGATATATATATATATATATATACATATGTATTATCCTTTGCTTTGACAATCACTTGAATTCCATTTTTTGTGTCTGTTGTAGAAATGTTTCATTTTAAATGTAACAATTTTTTGGGGAAGTTGTTCCTAATTGTTAGATTATATTGTTATTGGCTTGTAGCGTTGGAACTCTTTCTGGCTGAGCACTGAGGCTAAAAAACATGCAGTTTAAATATTGCACCAGAAAAGTGAAAACCATCCATGATGCTTTGCTTGAATTTTTTTGTATAATATCCAACCATTTTATAATTTCTTTCAGAGCTAGTCTATTATTTAGTAGTGGCATACTATTAATAGATTAAATGTAATTTTCGTTGTGACCTGTTGACAGAAGTTCCTTTGTCATCTGTTAGTGAGTGGCATGCTAGTAAAAGAAGTGACACAAATAAAAGTTCATCTTGAAAAATTGAAGGATAAAAACGTGATATAGAACTAATTTTAAACACTGATAAAATGGTTTGATTTGTATCATTGCCATTTATTAGCTTAAGCTTCATTTCCTGTTACTTTGTCCCATTGGTGGACAAGTCATGATATTTTTGTGACTTTTCCTTATAAGATAAATTAATTTTATGCCTACGTGTAATTAATCTATAAATCTCTCATCATGGTACATGTGCAAAGTGATTTGGTCAAAGGGAAACAACTCTGTCACTAACCCACGACAAACAGACAAGGGTAGCAAATACTCGTTCCTGATCTGGAGTATATTATGTTGAAGTAAATTCCCCTTCCTATCAGATATGACCAAAATATTACACAAATTCAAATTTTTGGTTTCATTATTAACATTAATATTCACAAATTCTCTTTTTGTATACAAACAAGCCAAATATGAATATATGAAAGGTGTATTTTTTGTTGAATAGTTTTGATTGAATCAGCATTACTTGCAATTACAAAGCAACGTCAATAACATAACTTGTATAAATACATATTGATATATTTATTTAACTGCACTGATGAAAAACAACTTCAGATCACATTTTACAACTCTGTTTCAAAAGATGTTGATTTTTTTTTTGTAAAAAAAAAAGAAATAAAGATGTTGATTTTATTTTTACCGATAAAAAAAGAAATGTTTATTTTTGTTGTGAAATTTTCATGGGAATTTTTTTATTCAATTTGTCATGGCATTGCCAAACTTTAAATGTATTGAATGTTTATCGTCAATTTGTTTAAGTATTGTGATACAGTGATGGGACAACAATTCACAAACCAGGCCCAGTCGGACTCTGTTGTCACATGATCTTCATGTATAATAAGTTGTGAAAATGTCAATCTCAATTCAAACTGGTTCATAATATTCCGACATCAATCATCAAATCTTAGCTAGATTAGCAAACAAAAAATGTCCATGTTTTTTTTTTTTTTTTTTTTTTTTTTTTTTTTTTACTTTTACACAATATTCTTAATTTCATACATGGCCTATTTTTTTAAAGCCTTACAAGTCTGAGAATGTTGTGAAATTGGTAAAGGCAATTTACTTGTATGCAGTTATACATGTTTGAGGTACTTTCGTATTCTTAACTGAAATGATCCCTTGTGCACTGACAATTTTCAGGATGTTAGACGGAACATAGCTAAATGGTGTATTTTGGATAAGTTGGATGGAGCTGTGAGAATTTATCTACAAGTAATACTGCAGCAAGGTTTGCTTTGATCTATTCTGGCCGTTGAAAATGCTAAGTTTATTTTCAGCATTGTTAAAATAAGGAAAAAGTGTACCAAAATTTTGGAACAATTCTTACACAAGTAGATTTGAAACGTCACTTTTTAGTTGAACTTTGTAAAATGATAGAAAATAAGAGTGAAAATTGTATGAACCTAAGGAAGGTGCTGTTTAAAATCAATTTAAACAATTTCAGTGTCTGTGGCGAGAATTGGTTTTCATTTACTTCTGTACAATTGCAATTGATGATGTTATTCCTTTTTGTAAAGTTTGTTTCGCTGTCTCTGGTCGTTTTGTATTAAAAAAGAAGCTTGGTAACTAGTTGGTCAAAATGAAATTACAGAAATTACTTGTCCTGTGAAATGCATGCTTTGATATTTATGTGGATATACAAATATTTTCATCATCACTGTTATTTATTTAATGTGTTAATAAAAAAATGAAGTGTATTTTCACAGAAAACAATCAAATTTTTTTTGCAGAGGTTATGTCCCTTTGTAGAAATCCAACACATTGCAGTGCATGCAGTGAGATTTTCAATGTAATTTGTTTCTGGTACTCTGATTGTTTATAGATAGGAACATCACAAATACATATCATCTTTATAATACCTTCACTGTTGCTTTTCTAAGGAAAATCTTGTAGCATTTTCAGACTATACAAACCTTGTTGGATGTTGTATCTTTGTGAACTTGCCTGTCGTCCCAGCTGATCATGGTTGATGCAAACATATATATTTTGTAGGAACTTGGTTATTGTGTTCTTCTGTCCGCTTTCTTTATTTAAAAATACTTTCCTATTTAATCGATCATGAGAAAAGGCAAAAATATGTTTGAAAATTTGTATCAAATACTGGTATGCATGACCTGTTAGAAAAAATGCATGCGTCTTTTTTTAATTTGTTACTTTAGGTAAAATGGGATGCTTACCATAAAGATAATGATGGGCAGCTATTTCAAGAAAAAATAATTAAATTATGACTTTGTCCAGAACAATATATAATATAAAAGATGAAGTTAAGTTTAGGATTCATGTTTTGTAATATACATTTGTGTTCAAGTATTCTGAAAAGTTTTTTTTATTTGTTCAGTTATAAAAATATATATATTTAAACTCCTGTGTTCTTGATAAGCATGACATAATGATGGTTGTTGTTTGGTAGTGAGACCGACTTGTTGAATGGTGCGTCAACATCAAGGCCCACTTGGTCAAACTTTATCAGCAAAGTCTGTCGGGTTTGTATTGTTAATTCTGATTGTTTCAAACCCCTGAAATCATTGATAAAGGTTCAGTGTATTCTACAGTGTATACAAATTTAGGTTAAAATAATCCTGGGTGACGATATGATGATGGATTTCTTGTAATCAGATATTTGATTTAAGAAAAAAACACAAAGATTTTCCTTTTGAATTTCAATCAAAAAAGAAAAGAAAAAATGCTTATTTGGATTTGAATGAGTGGGCTAAATTGCTGCTATCATAAATGTTGATTAATTCGCCAAAATATGTTTTCCTGATCGGGAATAATTATGAAGTAGAATGATGATTTTCACTGATTCTATATGTTGTCAGCAAAAACGTAAAAGTCAGTGAAAATTTAAAACAATAATAGATTTAATTTTGATATTGCTAGTGTTGTATCTTCTGGTATCTTCTGTGTACACTTAAAGTCCGTGTCTAGTGATGGACACATTCTACCGATATTTCTAATTACAGCCCACACTTTCTATTGTACCCAGTGCTAGTACCTTTGGGTGGTGTTTTTAGAATCTATATTTTCCATGTGTTTGCGCTTGTTTGTTCTATGCTTATGTATAACAGAGTTTCGTGTGATAAGGTGATCACTTCCTGTGAAGGCCGACCTATTCAGAGAAAAATCAGGTTGTATATATATATATATACATTATAAATAGCTGATAGTTTTTAATTCCCTTTTGATCTTGATGTAGATCACTCCATGAAACCAAAGAGATATGATGTATTTAAGGTGACACACTGCTGTCTAAAAAGCACCCACCAACACAGAAGAGTTCGTAATCATTTTAAGGGATTTTAGTTTTCCATCAGAATGTTACTGAAGATTGCATCATCAGATATTTCAAAAACAGAGCCAATTGTTGCTATAAGACATATCTAAACATATTTTAACAACTTATTGGTTTTACATAATGAATTATCCAAAACGTTAACAGTTTGTTATCACTTGTGTGATTAGTGAGTTAAATATTTAAAATGATGAACAGTATATAAAAGTGTCGGATTACAAGGAAAAGTTTGTTACCAGTTAATCAAAACTTGGATGAGATAAAAGAAAAAAGAAAAATTGGCATTCAGTTTTCCCCCCATCACGTGATGTTTCAATTACAGAACTCTTGTGTAGTTGGAGTCAGTTTTGTAATGCTTGGTGATGGGAGCAGGGTGTCACCCTAAGCCTGTAGATGATTTGTGCTGTACCAATTAATTGAGACAATGACTTTACAATGATGGAGGCCTAGCCGCCCACTGTTGTCTTGGTGTGTTGTTTGTGAACTATGTCAGAAATACTGTGTTATTAAATTTAATACGATTGTTGTCAATCGCTGACAATCAGTAAAGTGATTTGAAAAAAAAAAATTGTAATGTTTTTTTTATTTTTTACATAAACAAAAGTTTCTTCCCTTGGCGATGTCTTTTGAGTATATAACCATCATAATTGGGAAAGACTGTTTTGGATAGAAAAAATCTCAGAACTTAGGCAAAGATGGAAACAAGACTAAAATTAAGGAATAGTTTGAGTAAAAAGTACCAAAAGTATCTTTATTTAAATGAAAATTTCAAAATAAAAAATAGAACCTACAGTAAGAAAAAATACTGTTTCAGAATATGTTGTGAACTGATATATCTTGAGTGTTGAACTAGTAGAGGTATGGAATGAGATACCAACGAGCAGACATTGGACTAGTAGAGGTATGGAACGAGATACCAACAGCAGACGTTGGACTAGTAGAGGTATGGAACGAGATACCAACCAGCAGAGGTTGGACTAGTAGAGGTATGGAACGAGATACCAACCAGCAGACATTGGACTAGTAGAGGTATGGAACCAGATACTTAGTCTGTGATGGTGAAAACCTTCCATCAATTTCATTGTTACTTAAACATGACGCACTTCTTTCCAACTCTCCCTATTTAGGAGGGAGACTCACGATTTAATATTAAATTCAGCATTTTTAACCTGTGTATTTGCTAAACTATTCCTTTATTATAAGATCTAATGATGGAACCTGAAACAACAATCAAAATATGTCATTTTTAAGCGTTATTTACTCAAGGAGTAAATGCACATTTCATTTAATTTTGAGCATGCAGAATCTTCCCCCATAGAAATTTCGAAAAGTTTGCACGTATGTCCCGAGGTGGTACCGTCATGCATTAATTGCATTACAATATAGCTTCAGAATTTTATCAGAGACGCTCTGATGAAAATACCAATTCTTAACAAAGGACATGTACACGAAAAAGAGGGGGATGTCGTACACCCAACAATTAGTACATCAAGGAGGGGAGTCGCACCACAACACTTCCATGACTCGTCAACGTCACAGTCTTTGTTACCTGAATACAATCAATCAAAGGGACTTGATCATTTGTTTTTGGAAGAAACGTATATCATATCCATGGAAGGAGAATTAATTGTATGTGCATATAGGAGGTTTCTAAAACATTATCTATCTTTCCAACGGTGATAAGCATATTTTTGTGCATCACTTAGAAATGTGATTCTCATGCGACAAATTTACTAAGTGGGTCGATTTTTCGAGCTTTCCACCCTTCTGGTATCTATCAAAATTGGGTGGCATTTTCTTCGAAAGTTGATCTACCCCCCCCCCCCCCCCCCCCCCCCCNTACACCTTAGTTTTGGTTCAAGTGTAACAAATTCTCAAGTCCCTGTGTAATCAATTGCAAAACTTCAGTCTTCAGCCAGGACCGCCTTTCGTTGGGCGTCTACTGCACTAGAACGTCCTCAGAGTGAGCCAAAAGTATTCGGCCAAAGGATCACTGCTACTCTGTGAATGGTTTCTAGTCACTGCCATCTCTCCGACGGTTGTAGAGTCTCTGTACTGCTGGTTTCCATTAACTTCCCTTTTTTCCTCCAAGTGCCATGAACTCATTCACCTTGAAATTTCATAATGAGCTATTCCAAACTTTGAATTGGAAGAGTTCAAATGTGTCTTCAGAGGTTAATGAGTTAACATTCTCCAGATGCACTATGCTAAGAATCCACAGCCAGCCATCTCCAGCGATTATCGCACACATTACATAACGCTTTGATGTCCCCAGTGACACTGTTCACCCGATGATAAGCCTCATCACAAAACCTTTGTCCAAATCAAAATGAGATGCAAGTACAGCAAGAATGTATTGTTCGTTATTTGAAGACTTCGAACAGGTTGTGACACCCCTGAATCATTTAGCGGCATCTATCAAGTTATATGGGTGTATAGAAAACTAGATATCGATAATTCTCAATACCGATCGCTTAATTGTTAACTTAATACTCTTCATCTATGGCGGGTATACGCCTTCCACATGGTTCTGTCTTGGGCTGCCTGTTTAGCTTCTTTCAACTGACAACCGTACGTACCGCAATTCGGCTTCCAAAATGGTCGACCTTGTTTTCTCACTCGTCATTTGTATTCCAGTCCAGTGAGTGTTTTGTGAAGTTCGTCTGATTCCTACGCAGGATGTGTCCCATTCGTCTCCGTTGGCATGGAGACTGCCTCCGTTGGCATGGAGACTGCTTTCTGCTTGGTCCTCCTCCCGAGCTTCTGGTTTGTTTTGATGTATTATTGTAGTCTCTGTACGAGGTTCTTCAGAGGAAACAGTATCGTCTTCATGTTGGCGTGAAAGAGCTTTGGTTTTGTCTTGATTTCGCTATTAGTATACTGTATTATGTAGCGTGGTTTACAGATCCTGACCCGAACATCCTCATCTAACCCCTAACCCCCTCCCTAACCCACTCGCATGTTCTTTCCTCAGCATTAATCTTGAGAATAGTTTTCCTTGTCAACATTGGTGCCGAGACCCTGTATCGTATCCTGTTTGTGGTTGTTCGAGTGAAACGGTAGTCCGAAGTTGTCTGCAAAGCTTAGGGCGAATGTTCATGAAACCGTTCTCATGCTCTAAGCATGGAGTTTTTGCTCAAACCAAACCCTCCTTGACTCGCTACAAAAATGGGATATAGTGGACTCGTGTTGTGATAATGTGTACACGTTGGTGTTGTAGTGATATTGACGATGTGCTGTCTTTAAATAACAAGAAATCCATTGACCATATCCATCGTATATACCCTCGTGAACTTTAACCCGAGGACACTTCAGATTCTTCTTCATCAGACGCTTTCCTCTATCCTCTAACCATAACCAACATGGACATCTAAAATTGCGGTCACACTGCAGTTACTTCGCAAATGAATCTCACAGAACAACTATATCGCAGTATTAAGGCAACGATAGATAAAGTATCTCTCTGTTCTATATAAAAAAAAGATCAGCGTTTAAGATAAAAAAAAACCTCCAAACTCGAAACGACACACTATGCAGTCCTAATTGATGGCAGGGCCGTTTGAAAAGCACGCCTAGGATATTGTTACGAAGTGAGATTGGTAAAGCAGATTGTAAATATGTATGTAAATTTATTTAATCAAAACATCATTGCGTATATGAAAAATAACAAAGTATCATATTGATACCTATCACAGATTCATTTCAACACACAGTCCTAGCGTTAACGTCAAGGTTTGCGTTGATCACATCACCATACACTTGTTAAAGCAGCAAGTTCAGTCCGTGCAAAATAAACTCTTCAATTTCGTACATTACAACAGAGACCTATATTGTGGTGACGTTGTTTTTACTCAGATCACTAGAAACGATTGCTACTGGGAGCACTTGACTGATTGTAACACAAAACAAAATACTCCCTACAGAGATGGACGGTTTTCTATAGCTGCATCCTCAATACTCCGGGGGTTGAGCTCACTTTCGCTCTTTGCACCCCTGGAATATGTCATAGCAAAATTGAAGGCACAGTTACACCACCTTGTGCTAAGTTGTGGATGAGACAAGAAAACTAATCTGATCCTTTGGTGTACATCAAAAGAAACTCTCTATTGTGTAAGGTAAAATTGACTCTCTTTGAAGTCCGGTGTCGCTCTTCTGTAACTTCAAATGACAGATATCAGCCACGTGATTGGTAATGTTCTTTTACCTAAGACCAATTAAATAGATAGCCGCGTGCCTTAAATTTGGCTATGACATCGTCCAGGGGTGCAGAGAACGAAAATGAGCCTTACCCCTGGAATATCGAGGAGGCTGCTATAGAATGTTGCATAACGTTTATAAGTTTACTTTAAGGCTCATAGTATCAATGCATTAAAAATATCTTCCATGTGTATTCTTGTTTAGCTACTGGTTTAATTTTAATCTTAGTAATAGTTCTATTACATCGTCACCTCTGGTTTATTTAATTTTTATCTGTCACTTAAAAGCTATGTTCGATATTCGATATTTTGATTCCTGTCTTTGCCCATTCTTCACATCCGTTAATTATGGCCTAGCGTACTTAACAACAGCCCAAGCTACAATGCCTACCAACAGAGTTATCCCTGACGTCGCAACAACTCCCTGCCATTTTGACTTTTGACTTAGTCTTGGCAGCGTTTTCTCGAACCGGTCGACGCCCTTTTTCCACTTGGGACTCCAATCCGGACCGTTCGGTTTGTCGTCTGTAAAATCATACGGCACCACCCCACATAATTGCTTCACTTCCGTTGTTTTAGCAATTTCTGGAAGTTCGGTTAACCAGCCGATATTTTTTGAATATTGTGAAGGTAGTGAAGACATGATCCGAACATCTTGTGAAGGCCAATGTGTCGTCATGGCTACGCCATTGTAAGCCTCCTTTTTCGTATCCAGGCTCTCTTTGGTTGCCCAACTAGCTGGGGTCATACAGACCATCACACAAAAGCGCCACCTCCCGGGATGTTTCCTTCCTTTTATCGGACGAGCATTTGCATGTACAAGTCTAGAGTCCCAAAGAACCATCCCACCACGTGGAACCGCCACGCGCTTGGTGACACAACCTTGAGAGAGAAACCATTCCTCGTCTTCATCCCGCAGGCCATAGTACTTGTTACATGCACTCTTAAGCGCGACTTTCTGGTTCTGGTCGTACAGGCGATCGAGGTATAGATGTGACCGCTCCATCACGTGGAACGTCCAGTCGTCCTCGTCCACTGTTTCCAGGTAAACTGTCCCCTGGAAACCATGCAAACCGATCTTTTCCGAATCCTGGTCAACGTGTAACCAGTGACAATCATTCGCGAATACCTCTTGTCCTTCCTCGGGCGGCCGACCTATTGCAATGGCGTCGACACTGGTAAGAAGTTTGTCAGTCTTCCACAATTTTGAGAATACTGCCTTGGCTTTGAGACGGGTGCGCCACGCGGCGTCATGGTGACCAATGTTGTATCTTTGGATGAGAGAGTGGACTGAGAATGGCCATTCGTTCTCTGGGAACTGGGGCAGCCAGTCCCTGAATGCTTGGATGTGTTCCCCACATTCGCTTTCTGTCAGGACGTTCTCTACCACTGTATAACCTTTCTCCTCCAGCTCCGTTCGATGCTTCTCCGTAAACGCCATTGTCTTTGAATTCTGAAGGAAAAGACATAATATGAAAAGTTGAATGATAGGCGGAGGATCTTTATACATCGAGTTTCAAGTTTGTATGAGGAGCAAACTTGCAGAATCACAGTTATTGTAAGTTAGATGATATACGAACTACTTCGAAATAGATATACATTATTTTTCAAATAAAAATGGAATAAGAAGAAAGTCTTTATTTTTATGATTTAATCAAGTCATTACGTTTGTAAATTGTAACGTCCCACAGGAGATTATTACAAAGTCTGATTGGTTAAGAACCTGTCCAATCAGGTCAGCAGATGTCACCAGGAAGACATGGCAACCACTATTACGAGAAGACGACCTGATTGTGATACACTTACTTTGCTGTTTAAAGCACAGGCATATGTTGCTGTTAATAAAAACGGTCCTGACAATAATTAAGAAGTCACTCCCTACTTATATAAAATATCAGTTTTATTTGAGTAGGGTGCGACTTCTTATTGTTAGGACCATTTTTTTATTAACAGAAACAAATGCCTGTGGTTTCAAAAATATTTCACGAACTGGCGTCAATAGCGCGAAATAACTCAATAAAACATTCCTATAGTATAAAAATTAAAATATAATTAATGTATATTCTAGAAAATAGGATAACGATTTCTATAAAAACAAATAGTGTTCTATATAAAATAAACATGAAAGATAGTGTCGGTAAAATAGATCACTCTCGAGTATTGAAGCAATTAAGTCAACAAAAAGGGTGTAAACAGGAAGTAACGCACCATTACCAGCGTACAGTAAAGTGATCTATGTTTGTGAAAGCTACGGTTTTCCCTACTCTAGGATTCCGAGTGGAGAGATAGTGATGGGGAAAACCCGTGGGTAACCCACGATGACGTATCTTGACCTTTGGGAAAGTGTGATCGACTTTGTCCAATATAATATGGATTGTCATTCATCCAATGATATCGCTTTTTGTGATCACCTATGCGAATATTCATATTTATTTTCGTTGCTCGTATCTTTAAATAAACTTCTGTAATCACAGGGGCTCTGTTTCGGGATACTTCCGGTTGATAAACCTATGCACACCAGTAAATAACAACAACGCTTTTTATCCGGCGTTAATTGAGGTTAGCGAGGTAAATATATCTCGGTACACTCAATTTTTATAAGGTTTTAAAATGTGTATAAACACCGGATAAAAAGCGTTGCTGTTATTTACTGGTGTGTGTAGGTTTATTATCAACCGAAAGTATCCCGAAACAGAGCCCCTGTACGCGATGAGGAAGGTATAAAAGAAACTTGCTTCGAAATATTCAAACACTTCCGTATAGTAATAACGAGATTTTTCTCATACATTATTCATAACCCGATTATGCTGATTATGCGCTATTTGTATAAGTATACTTTGTACGTTGAATAAGCAGATTCGTTATTACTCAACTACTACAGTATATTATATATGGAAAGAAAAAGTACGTATAGTATCATGTCAGGTGTACTACCACTATAACATGTATTTAGGTGGAACTAGTAAGTCCTCACAAACACTATAGCCAGTAACAAGTATACACACCTGGTGTCCCTTGTTGTCGTACGGCTTCACCTCCTTTACACCTGAGTTTACGGGTCTCCGCCTCTATTTATATACTGGTTCATTAGTAATAGCTATAAATAGCGCTCCATGTCATATGATCCACGAAACGTAACGTTGCCTTGCGCCTTACTTGGAACTTTATATGGGAGTGCTGTTCTGAACAAGGACTATTATTTGGTAATAACGCAGTGAGTGAAAATAACGTCTATCTAAGTTTTAACTTCACACTCAGTGGCGTAGCATACATTGTCTACAATCGGGAACCGTCGGCACTTTCCGTAAACGAGTATTTTCTCGTTTACGGAAAGTCCCGATTGGCTTGTATACTCAACCATAATCATATATTTTCAATAATTTCTGTCTATGATTAATATGGACCGTATCAGTCATAAAAGGGAAAGAATAAAAATTGCTATTGTAGCGGGTGGGAAGTTGTCGAAAATAAGACAAAGCCGCTGGGTTCGGTTCTATCGCATTTTAATGCTTATAAATAGAAACATTCTGAAATACACAATAAAAATACGTATAAGCTCTACATGCATATATGTCACATTCGAGTAAAATACAATCTACAAATCTCAACAATTCAATGACCAGTACTAAGATAATAAAATTACAACACTTTCTGGTACTTATTTATTGTATTTTCCAACAAGGAATTATTCATTGATATAAGAATAACATCTAGGACTTCAGCAAAATAGTTATTTTACTTTAAACATTATCATAAACGTTTACGATACTTCGAATCTTGAAATTCCAATTACATGCATTTAATATTACCTTTATACACTATCAATACATTATAGATGCAATATAAATACACTTTAAATACAGTATAAATACACTTACAACACGTATCGTGCATTAACGTCACAAGGCAGAAAACGCACGTCCTAATGACTAAACCGTCATCGTCTCACATAATGAATCTGTACGAACTACAATAAATACAATAGAGTAATAGAATAAAGTATCACAACAAATGCATAACGCTTAACTTTTACAATAAATATATAACTTAAAATGGGATCACGAATACCCGAACCTTCATTCCAGAATAACATATTTAGTATCAAACCGGTCATCAAATCAACGATTCATTAAAACATATTATTTAACCATTCACACTTATCATACACGCGGGAAGATACATACTGAGGAATAGAGTTAATATAGAATCAAACTAATTGAAATAGACATTTCAACTTACCGAAAATAGACCTGTTAATATCAAGCTGAATCTTCCGACCTGTTCTCCTTTCAAATCAATTTCAAAAAGTGCCCGAAAGCTTAAACAAACCTACACGAGTACTAACGACACAAACTTTCGACCAACCAAATAGCTTCGTCAAAGTCCGTCAAGTCCGTCACGTGTCTTACCTGTCACTGACCACAACTCACATTTCAAACGCCACAATACATGTACATATATACACGTACAAACAAAGCGCCGCGCCCGCACGAATAAATCCAGCGCGGAGCGTAAAGATAAGACATTACGTCTTGCGTCGTGAATTATATAAACACGGACATTATTACAAATATTTCATTCATGAATAAATGTGTATGAATACATATGCTATATAGTATGAATACAACATATTACAAACAATACATTCAAACATATATTATATTATATGAATACTTTTAATTGAGCAAATTATGCCTAAATAAATCGACCCTGTTACACTATCGTTATTGATATACATTGAAAATAATCTCAGGTTAATGTAAATAAAAAACAACTTAAGGAAGTAAAACATTTGATATTGTTCATATATAAATTCGGATTTTCCTTGTTTATAATCAGACTAAACGGACTACACAGAATATGAGAGATTGCTTCTAGGGCCTAGTAGAATTGTTTTTCCCTGCTATGGGTGGGGAAACTCCCCCTCCGCTATGGGAGGGGAAACTCCCCCTTCCATACCCTCCCCCGCCTCCGGTGCTACGCGCATCGGAGGCTCGACCCCCTGTAAGCATACACTCCGAAAAATGATTTGCTACGCCACTGGAACTTATAAATAACATGCTGCCGTTAAGTAATCATAGTTCAGTCTATCTAGTGTTTATACTTTTAATTCAATGTAACGTAACGTGCAGAAAAGACACAGTATCTACTCTATATTATGGGTGGTCGTTTTAGGATAAAATACCAAAACTACTTCAGTGCAAACGTTGACATTTAAGTGAAAAAACTGGACTTCATGGCAAAACATCACATAATGGCAAACACTTTTTCACTTAAATGCAAATGCAAATATTTTGCATTTAAGTACAATAAAACACATAATGCCAAAAAACGTTTTTTTTTGTCACTATGTAGATCTTTTTTACATTAATTTTTACATATGTTGGTCGCAATAATAGCTCACAAGAGCTAATGTTCCTTGTTTACCTGTATGCGACGTTAAATAAAAATTCTTGTATCTTGTATCTTGTTGAACTCCTTGTTGGATATGTATGTTGCTGGATGCAGATCCTGCCCATTTGATAGAGGTTTGCGCATTGATGATGAAATCGTGAATTAATTCCCAGGTCCTTCCTTGGAGCCCCGTCATGAAGAGCTACCGGTCAAATATGTTATGGTTCATGGTGTCGAATGCTGCTTTGGCATCCAAAAATGCAACATAGGTGTTCGGTGAAGCCTGGTTGTTGATTACTTCGCGTAGAATCAATCCACTTCGAAGTGGCACAGCACCCTTAGTGAAACTCCTTTGGAGAGTATTCTGTTGTGGGTTGGACCCTAATGCTTCCAGGACTTTCAGGATGACCGGGAGTACAGCGGTACCTCGGTAGTTCTTTGCCTCCTTATTCAGCTCTTTCTTCTTGTATATAGTGATTTTAAAACTGGCCAGCTTTCAAGCAATCTGGGACACTCCCATTGTAGATGTACTGGTTGAAAAGGGTGGTGGGGACATCATCAACTTTGGTACCGCCGTGCTTGAAGTGCTCTGCGGACATATTGAAGACATCTGGAGCCTTATTGTTGTTCAAGGTGGAGATCGCTTCTTCTACCTTCCTGGGGGTGATCATTACATCAGATGTTGCCTGTTGACCTTGGCAGATTGATTTGATGACATCGACGTCGTACTGGATGTTATCCGTACTCTCCACCACCTGCTGGTGTTTTGGTGTAACTGGGGGTGCCAGTCTTTTGAAGTGATGCTGCCACCCTAAGAGGATGTCCGAAGGATTGGTGTATACCTCATCGTCGACAACGAGTTCTGTTAGGGTACCTCCTTACTCTGTCTATGAGACTGTAGAATATCCTCTTGTTACTCCTCCTTGCCTCCACGACTTCTTCCAGGTGGTCGTCTCTCTTTTTGGCGATCTCCATCCTTCTTTGTTTTTGGAGCTCTTTCTTAGTGTCTATACGTAATTGGGACAGCAGTTGGCTTGTTACTGTTCTTCCATTGTTTAAGGGCTTCTATGATAGACACTGTGGCCTTGGATATGGCTGGGCTCCATACATGTTTCTTTCCCCTTTTAACCATGCTGGAATGTGGAGAGACCATTGCAGCAGTACTCGACAACAGCTCAACAATCTGTAGTGGGATCAGATCGGAAGATGGAACTCCCCAGTAAACTTTCTCCAGGTTTTGTGAGAGCGTACGTTGGTACAGGCTTTTGTCCTCCTTATTCCAGTTGATCTTCTTGTACACTGACTTTTCTGTCTGGTCGCAGTGCCTTGTGGAGTACTCAAACTATATAACGACTTTAATTGGATGATGATCGGATGTGTTATCTATCCTGAAGATCATCGATCCTCACGATGTTTGGGAGGCCGTTGTCCTGGGTATATGTGTGGGAGGCCGTTGTCCTGGGTATATTGTGGGAGGCCGTTGTCCTGGGTATATGTGTGGGAGGCCGTTGTCCTGGATATATGTGTGGGAGGCCGTTGTCCTGGGTATATGTACGGTGAAACAATATATAGTCTATGGTAAATTTATCCCTGCCATTTGCATGTTCGAAGGTGTCAGACGTACTAGTTGTTTGGTACCCACATGAGTCCATAAATTGGTCAAGCTTGTCAACCTGACGAAGTGAAGCCATGGTAAGATCCGCATTCATATCTCCAGCGATGACTATATCATGTGTTGTGAAGTACTTCCTTATAATTTCCCGTAGTATGAGTAGGCAGTTGTCTCCGAGCTGTTCGTGTTCCTGCTAGACATGTACACACAGATAATCAGTAATGGTCTACCGTTTCCTTTATTAATCTCGATACAATCTATCCGTTCGTTCCCTTCGTCATGATTGGTGACCAGGTGATCGATGTCACTGTTCCACAGGACCCTACTCCACCATAGCCTCTTGGTCTTTGCGTCGGGTGATTTTGGTCAACATGTTTACCGTACCAACAAAATGTCCGTTTGGTGTTGACTAGTTTATGCATCTGTCTGTGTATGAACCTTGGATACGGATGTCCGACATTTGACCACAGTATTACTGTTGTAAAGCGAATCCTTGAATCAGAAAATCACTTTAATAGCCGTCCTTAGTTAAGCATATTCTTGTCTCAAGTCTAATGATTGAATTAAACCATTACTGATTTTGGTGCCCCACTTTGATGACTTGGGAAGAAAATATTCCTGTATTGTTGTCTACCGGTAAGCCGTCTTATAAATGGTAAGAAAAACTGCATTAAGGTCAGTACAGGATTTTTTTAATAAATACCCTAGTTTATGATAATAGTAATAGTTTTTGTGTCTGATCTTTGATCAGTATTTTACTGTCATGGTCTCTGCCGTCTGAATAGAAATGTATTGACATCCCTTTTACGTCTGGGGAAATCGAACGGCCTGCTATATTCCACTGCATGTCGCAAGAGGCGATTATTGAGAGGTCTTCTGCAGAAACGAAAGTTTTTCTTTATGTACTCTGCGCAGGGGAAATTGAAACAAGAGGCCCAAGAGGGCCTGTATCGCTCACCTGAATATTTAAGCAGTCATAGCAAAGTATTCTCATTAAATATTATATTGCACTAAAACTATTTCCCTCGCAAACTTTGTTGGCTCCATCTGTTGAAACTACCAGCAAAATATTATTATAAGATTCTATGCTTTTTGATTCTTCTTCAGAAGTTGCTTGACATACTTTTCCCTGTGATCTTGTAAGTAGGTCAATGTCATTTTCCTTCTCAAATTGGTTAGCTCTATTCCAAAAAGCTACCAGCCAAATCTTATGAATCCATTCCTTTTAGTTCTCAAGAACAAATCCATTAAAATGTTGTTGACCTCTGTGACCTCTAAAGTAGGTTGAGGTCATTTTCATTTGCAAACTTTGGTGAGCTCTATCCCGGGAAGTCACCAGCCAAATATTATAATTTTATGCCTTTTAATTCTTCAGAAGAAGCTGTTTGAACTGTTTGACATATTTGAACGCT